AACTTAAAAACTTAAAAAATTTAAGTAGAACCAACTTGGTTGTACAAGTCATTTAAACTTAAATTATATTAAATTGAGTTGAATCTCCTTAGATTATATGTATTAATAATGTAAAAACATAAGTTGCCATGACTTACTGATCATATAATTTTTATTTGTTTAATTAAAATACAGAAGAGTAAAATTGTGAAATATTATTATGTATTAAATAGCAGTTTTCTATGTGAATAATATAATAAAGTGTAATTTATTCATGTGATCAAAGCTGAATGTTCAGCATCATTACTCCAGTCTTCAGTGTCACATGATCCTTCAAAAATCACTCTAATATGATGATTTGATGCTCAAGAAACATTTATGATTATTAATGTTGAAAACATTCATTTTCAGGATTCTTTGATGAATATAAAGTTCAAAAGAACAACATTTATTTGATACAGATTTTATTATCACATTATAAATCTCTTCAGTCACTTTTGATCAATTTAATGCATCTTTGCTCAATAAAAGTTTTTGAAAAAACTTCCTGCAACCGAACTTTAAAGACTAAATAATGTGCTTAATTGTGATGAAAATGCACTTAAAATAAACAGATTTTTACGCAAAGCACAATATATGTATGTTTATAGATATTCATCACTCTAGATATCATTCAGTCATTCATATAAGGAATGTTTGCATAGTTTCAAAGCTCAAGATTGCATCACACAGTCATTTTCTGTCAAACAAGTTCACGATGACAAGTTTAAATGAGGCTGGATTGAGTCAGGAAGCGCTCGCCTATGCAAATACCATCAATAAATAAATAAATATCGATCAATAAATAAATAAATATTGATCAATCAATCAGCTGAGTTATCTTAGTATCAGTGATAAAACACAGGCAGACAAAAACTACTCAAACCGAGAGCAGAAGTGGTGTCTGATTCAGTTCAAGTATCTAAAATATCACTATATCGCAGTAATGATGAGCCTGTTGCATTATGGGTCTCCGGATCCCAACTTAAACACACTAAACCACATGTGTGTGTTAAATCTGACAGGCAGAATCGGTCTGACCTTGTGAGATCTTCACACGTCTGTCACGTCTGATCGGGACAAAGGTTGAGTTTGTTGACAAAATACATCATGCCATTTAAACTTTTGACCTTCATACACAATTAATGAATGGATACAACAATCAACAGCGTCGATTATTAATAAAGATGAACAGATGTGAGGTACGGGCAAACATTCACACGCTCCTTTTGTCTTGCCTGTCGTTTCCAGTTTCCACCAAACCTGTTCATTAGCAACACGATGATCAAACTAAACACGCTCTGCAGGAACACACCGGCTTCTTTCCAACACACGACGACACACAGGAACTGGACACTTTTTATCTCGCAATTCAGACTCTATAACTTGCAATTCCAAGTTTAGATCTCGCAATTGACTTTCTCACATTTCCTAATTTATAACTGATAATTCTGACTTTTTTTTTCTTGCGCATTTCAAGTTTATAACTGATAATTCTGACTTTTTTTTTCTTGCGCATTTCAAGTTTATAACTCATAATTCTGACTTTTTTCTTGCGATTTCAAGTTTATAACGCATAATTATGATTTTTTTTCTTGCGATTTCAAGTTTATAACTCATTATGATTTTTTTCTTGCGATTTTAAGTTTATCACTCATAATTCTGACTTTTTTCTTGCGATTTCAAGTTTATAACTCATAATTTTGACTTTTTTCTTGCGATTTCAAGTTTGTAACTCATAATTCTGCCTTTTTTCTTGCGATTTCAAGTTTATAACTCATAATTTTGACTTTTTTCTTGCGATTTCAAGTTTGTAACTCATAATTCTGCCTTTTTTCTTGCGATTTCAAGTTTATAACTCATAATTCTGACTCTTTTTCTTGCAATTTCAAGTTTATAGTTTATAATTCATAATTCTGACTTTTTTCTTGCGATTTCAAGTTTATAACTCATAATTCTGACTTTTTTCTTGTGATTTCAAGTTTATAACTCATAATTCTGACTTTTTTCTTGCGATTTCAAGTTTATAACTCATAATTCTGACTTTTTTCTTGCGATTTCAAGTTTATAACTCATAATTCTGACTTTTTATAATTCATATTTCGGACTTTTTTCCATGCGATTTCAAGTTTATAACTCATAATTCTGACTCTTTTTCTTGCAATTTCAAGTTTATAGTTTATAATTCATAATTCTGACTTTTTTCTTGCGATTTCAAGTTTATAACTCATAATTCTGACTTTTTTCTTGTGATTTCAAGTTTATAACTCATAATTCTGACTTTTTTCTTGTGATTTCAAGTTTATAACTCATAATTCTGACTTTTTTCTTGCGATTTCAAGTTTGTAACTCATAATTCTGCCTTTTTTCTTGCGATTTCAAGTTTATAACTCATAATTCTGACTCTTTTTCTTGCAATTTCAAGTTTATAGTTTATAATTCATAATTCTGACTTTTTTCTTGCGATTTCAAGTTTATAACTCATAATTCTGACTTTTTTCTTGTGATTTAAAGTTTATAACTCATAATTCTGACTTTTTTCTTGCGATTTCAAGTTTATAACTCATAATTCTGACTTTTTTCTTGCGATTTCAAGTTTATAACTCATAATTCTGACTTTTTATAATTCATAATTCGGACTTTTTTCCATGCAATTTCAAGTTTATAACTCATAATTCTGACTCTTTTTCTTGCAATTTCAAGTTTATAGTTTATAATTCATAATTCTGACTTTTTTCTTGCGATTTCAAGTTTATAACTCATAATTCTTGCGATTTCAAGTTTGTAACTCATAATTCTGACTTTTTTCTTGCGATTTCAAGTTTATAACTCATAATTCTGACTTTTTATAATTCATAATTCTGACTTTTTTCCATGCGATTTCAAGTTTATAACTCATAATTCTGACTCTTTTTCTTGCGATTTCAAGTTTATAGTTTATAATTCATAATTCTGACTTTTTTCTTGCGATTTCAAGTTTATAACTCATAATTCTGACTTTTTTCTTGTGATTTCAAGTTTATAACTCATAATTCTGACTTTTTTCTTGTGATTTCAAGTTTATAACTCATAATTCTGACTTTTTTCTTGCGATTTCAAGTTTGTAACTCATAATTCTGCCTTTTTTCTTGCGATTTCAAGTTTATAACTCATAATTCTGACTCTTTTTCTTGCAATTTCAAGTTTATAGTTTATAATTCATAATTCTGACTTTTTTCTTGCGATTTCAAGTTTATAACTCATAATTCTGACTTTTTTCTTGTGATTTCAAGTTTATAACTCATAATTCTGACTTTTTTCTTGCGATTTCAAGTTTATAACTCATAATTCTGACTTTTTTCTTGCGATTTCAAGTTTATAACTCATAATTCTGACTTTTTATAATTCATAATTCGGACTTTTTTCCATGCGATTTCAAGTTTATAACTCATAATTCTGACTCTTTTTCTTGCAATTTCAAGTTTATAGTTTATAATTCATAATTCTGACTTTTTTCTTGCGATTTCAAGTTTATAACTCATAATTCTGACTTTTTTCTTGTGATTTCAAGTTTATAACTCATAATTCTGACTTTTTTCTTGCGATTTCAAGTTTATAACTCATAATTCTGACTTTTTTCTTGCGATTTCAAGTTTGTAACTCATAATTCTGACTTTTTTCTTGCGATTTCAAGTTTATAACTCATAATTCTGACTTTTTATAATTCATAATTCTGACTTTTTTCCATGCGATTTCAAGTTTATAACTCATAATTCTGACTCTTTTTCTTGCGATTTCAAGTTTATAGTTTATAATTCATAATTCTGACTTTTTTCTTGCGATTTCAAGTTTATAACTCATAATTCTGACTTTTTTCTTGTGATTTCAAGTTTATAACTCATAATTCTGACTTTTTTCTTGCGATTTCTGTGATTTCAAGTTTATAACTCATAATTCTGACTTTTTTCTTGCGATTTCAAGTTTATAACTCATAATTCTGACTTTTTTCTTGCGATTTCAAGTTTATAACTCATAATTGACTTATCCCACGTTTCCAAGTTTATAGCTAAATAATAATAATGATAATTAATAATAAAGTTTATTTCTCAGAATTGCCTTTGTTAAATTCCATTATTATTATTTTTATTCCATGGTAGAAACCAGCTTTCATACCAAAGCACCTATGAATTGCATTATCTTAAATAGAAATAAGACGTTGCATAAACATGATGAAACCAACCATTTACATAACCACAATGAGGGCAAAAGACAATCTATGATTATAGTGAACACTACGGCTTCACAATGTTGGCAAATCTTTAAAAAACGCAATGGAAAGTGAGATTCTTTCCAATGAAAGCCTGTTGTTTAATACTAAACTTTAATTTATGCGCACAGGTGATTTCTGCAGGTTGGAGGGATGCTGGGAATGAAAACAATGAACAGAAACATGGCTGTTTCCATAGAACAAGGTCACAAGGGTCATAACAGATCTCATGCAAGAAGACATTCAATAACAACCTCAATAAAAACTTTACAACAGATTAATAATCAATGTCTATGAGGAAAATTAACATCTATAATTACAGCTGTGTTGAACCACGCGATTAACGCATTTAAAGGGTCATAAAGTTAAATTAAGAACTTGAGTCATAGTTTATAGTCAGACACACATGACAGATGACGTGTCTCTAATTCACAAACCAAGAAATATTAGAGTCACGTCAGTCAGCATACAGGACATATGCTATATACGAAGAATTACAATGTGCATTCGTTAAATCATCAAATGATATTTCCTAAAAGCAACAACAACTAACCACTAACTGCATTGTTCATTGTGTTCATAGTGTCACACACACACATGCACTTCTGCAGTTGTCCGTGTGCATCATGGACACGTCGACATGAAAACAAAGTTGCTATGGTGCGATGCATTTCATCATTTACAAGGAATAACATGTTACAAGCAATGCAAATAAGCCTTAGTCTGCTCTACTGACCTGTACGAGACCGAACTCTTCTGATAATCGCACATGCGTTTGTCTCTGACGGCGAGCGTTTACTACTTTCTCCGTGTTGTTTGGTCACCAATCTCTCGACCAATCAGAGGCGCCGTACGAATAGAAAGACTGTTAGGAGGCCTCTGATTGGTCGCTTGTTTGACTCGCAGTAACCCGCGTTTACAGGCTCGTTTACCTTTGTACAGACTTTCACAAGCGGGACAATATCATATCTATACTCAATAAATGCACCAAAGATATAGATGATTGAGCTGTGTTGATGAGTTAATAAGTAAAATGTTTCATATGTATGATAGAGACACTCAGTTAAAGGGATAGCATCAGTTGTGCATGCTTATATTTTTAAATCATGTGTATGTACTGAGTTTTATACTGTATTATGATATATGGATTTATTGATTATTATAGCAGCTAAACCGAGCATTTTTTTTTAGAATGACGTGTGTAAGCGACTAATAAAAAACGGCAAAATAGCGACTCTTAGTGTTAAAATACGGTACGAGAGGATGTAAAGTATTCGACAAAACAGCCAAACCAGAAACATCCGATATAAAATGCTACTTTTCTTGTTAACAATGTACCGGTACAACAGTTTTTATTAGTTACAATAAAAAACTATTTCCGCTATTAGGCCAAAAAAGTGTTGAATTATCTTTTTATTCAGTATATATATATAATACTTCAAAACATTTATATAAATGTAATTATTAAACTACTTCAAACATTTGAATAAATAAAACATTATTAGAATACTTCAAACATTTAATTTAATAAATAAATAAATGTAATTCTTAGAATACTTTAAACACTTAAATAAATAAATAAATGCAATTCTTAGAATATTTCAAATATTTAAATCAATAAATAAATGTATTTCTTAGAATACTTCAAATATTTAAATAAATAAAACTAATTTTTAAAATACTTAAAAAATTAATAAAATAGATAAATAAAATAAATCTATTTTTTTAGAATACTTCAAACATTTAAATTGAAAAACTATATTTTGAATACTTAAAAAAAAACATTGAATGAAATAGTTAAATACATCTAAAATAAATACATAAAACTATTTTTTAGAATACTTAAAACTTTTAAATAAATAAAATTAATTACTTAAAAAATGCATAAAACTAATTCTTGGGATACTTAAAACCTTTAAATAAATACAATTAATTCTTATAATATTTAAAACATTTAAATGAAAAAACGAATTCTTAGAATACTTAAAACATTTAAATAAATAAAATAAATAATTCCCAGTGTACTTAAAACATTTACCCCCCCCCCCCCCCCCCCCCCCCCATAATATTTACTTTTATTTGTCCTCTGATCTCAATAAAGAAATCTCAGGTGTCCACTAGAGGGCAATCAGTCCACTGGAAACTTTTGGAAAAGAGATTATTTTATTGGAACTATTATCATATAATAATAATAATAATACAAAACATTGTGTTTTAAAACCCTGACTCAAGCAGCAAACAAACACAGACAGTCACATACAGTACAAGCTCGAAACAAATGAACAGTTTCACTTACAGCTAACTAACACTATGTTTTAACAAATAAGAGGTGTACACCAGATCAAAACTCAGTCATTCGTCATTCCTTCAACACACAGGGATTCGAGGTCACATTATCAGAAAGCGCAAAGAAATGATGTGGATGGTTAAAAATCAAGTAAGCAGAAACACATGATTCAGTGAATGTGATCAAGCGACTCATTCTCAAATCAACTTCTTCATATCAGGCGGATTTAGGGATAAGTCCCTAAAACACTTCAAAAAATCTTTTCTTACTTAGCATTTTTGTCTTTTTTTTAGTCCAAATATCAAAAAATTCTTAAATCAAGATGCATTTACTAGATGAGTAAAAGGACATAAGATATTATGTCCTGTTTTCCGAGCGAATTAATCAAAATTAAGTGAGTTGATGCTTAAAAAAAAGCAAAATTATCTGCCAATGGGATTAGAAAAAAAAGTAACAGATATAAGATTATTTTTCTTACATAATTTAGCTTGTTTTAAGCAAAAACTCACTTAATTTTTATTTATTTCCCCAGAAAACAAGACTTAATCTTACGTCATTTTACTATTTTAGTAAATGCATCTTGATTTAAGAAATGCTTGATATTTGGACTAGAAACATGACAAAATACTAAGTAAGAAAAGCATTTTTTGCAGTGTATAATAACACGTCTAATCAGTCTGTGATTAGGGGCGTTCGCACCGCAGGAACTAGGAACGAATTTAGTGCTAGGAACTCTTTTTGGAGGAACTAATAGGCTTTATGCACAGCTTCACTACTTCCTGAACTTTAGCCAGCTCCTTTGTTTCCTGTCTGCCATTATTGGACAAACTGATTAATCCAGGTGTGCCTGGCCTCAGTAACAATAATCAGGCACACCTGGATTAATCAGTTTGTCCAATAATGGCAGACAGGAAACAAAGGGCTGGCTAAAGTTCAGGAAGTAGTGCAGCTGTGCATAAAGCCTATTAAGCTCTTGAGCTGCGTTCCAGTCCAACATTATCATGCCCTTCACTCGCTAACTTCCCTCCGTCTCGTTCACTCAGATGTTCGTCATTGCCCTTTCGCTTGGAATCAGCTATGGAGTTGATTTATTATTTAAACATTTTTTTCCCTTTAAGAATTTGTTTAATGCAGCGATCCAAATGTATATAGATGTGTTTGGGCTGTTTAAAAAAAAATCATAATAAATATATCATAGAGTTGTTTGTGGTGATGGTGATTAGACTTTAGATCTGCGGTGATGTCACAATCGTGTTGCATTGTGGTATATGGAGCTGCCTGAAGTGTACATTTGAAGTAGACTCGCTCCCTCGGTCAAAATCGAGTCTACTCGAGTCTGTCCATATAAACTTACCTCGTCCGTTTCACTAGGTGGAACGCACTTCAAAATGGCGGCAGGGATTCCCCCGAGGGGAAGTGCTAGGGAAAGTTCGCACTTTGCAAGTGCGTGTCTAAAAGTGGACTAGAACGCAGCACTACTTCAGAGTCGGTCTAACCCTCTTTTTTTTACAGTCTATGACTCTATGGCCCTGTCCCAAATGGAACCCTAAGCACTCGCGGTCTTCCTCTGATACCCCTTTTCCACCAACAAGAACCGGGTGCTGGTTCAGAGCCAGAGCCAGAGCTGGTTCGGAGTTAGTTCGACTGACAAGCTTACTAAGAACCGGTTTGCCTTTCCACCGGCTAGAGAGTCACAACAGAGCCAGATCTTTCGTCACTGCATACGTCTCATGTTGCCCAGCAACGCTAGTGCGGTAGCGCCAAACACAAACACGCCAGGCTTGTTCGAGATGCATCGGCTTCTCGCAGATCGATCGCCGCATGACATCAAAGCACTGCGAAAGCGATCCAAAAGCACAAGGAGTCGTATGATCTCCAAACACTCCCGCAGCTCCGATCGCTCCGCGCCGCTCCGATGCATCTCGAACAAGCCATCAACAATAACGGACGTTGCGTTACTATGGATGCTCATGGGTTTGCAAAAATACATCGGAATCCAACGCGTTTGTGCAGCTCGCCGTAACTTACATAGACGGATATTATAATCAAGCTGCTATTAGCTCGACTAGCTGCTATTTAAAAATGGCGGTCACAAGTTTCTATTCGTCTTGTTGGTCACGGTAACCCCGCCCCCAGCCCCTGACGCAAGCGGTTCTTACTTGGCTCTGTTCTAGACCAGCAATGATTTGGTGCTACTTAAGAACCACTTTTCCTGGTTCGGAGCTGGTGCTTTGCGTGTGGAAAAACAAAGAACCGAATTGAAACTAGGCTCTGGCTCCGAACCAGCACCAGCTCTGCCTTGGTGGAAAAGGGGTATGAGTCCGCACTTTCGCGACGTAACGCCGCTTTGAATGTCGGGAAGAAGTCTGCTTTGGAGTCCGCATCAGCGCGGCTTTGGCAAAAGTGCGCATCAAGAGCGCAAATCGACCGCAGAGGGGGGCGCTCGCGAGCACCCTTCTGAGATCTAAAAATGACAAATGGGACACACTGCGGTCTCACGGACTTAACGGACACGCGCACGCGGCAGCCATTGTAAGTCCACAAGACCGAAAGTGCACATGAAGTGTGCCATTTGGGATTGGGCCTTAGGTCTAAACCATAGACAGTATAAGAAGTGGACAGAGCCATCTCATTGGAACTCAGTTGAGACATTTGAAGCCCATTTTTAGCGATTTTTGAGCACTTCCGTTCCTGACGCGCAGACTCAAACCGACTCAAACTAAGCTTGATGACGTGAGCAACCTGTCTGACAGACGTTAATCTTCTAGTAGCTGTGTGTGAAAATTGCCAACGTTAATCTTGCAGAGACGGGGAACTTGAGCAAAGAGTTCTTTGGCGTGAGTGAGCAGGAGTAAGAATTCCGTTGCTTTTATGGACTCATTATCTATGGGCTTCTCCCTTGACGGGACGTCCCCCCGATTGCCTGCGAGCTTCTCCTCCTGTCTGTACGGTAATTTCTGTACAGCGCGACAGAGAGTCGAGTGGTTATGACGCTATCGTTAGCCTATTTTTACTAAATCTGTTTCTACGGGCCCATAATGTAACATAGAAGGTAATGGAGCCCTTTATACATTGTCGTGTTTCTTTAGAAATAAATAATGGACAAATGGAGTCTTTAAACGCCTCAGATGTAAAGTTATTCGCTGTCAAAGTGACGCCAAAATGAATGGGAGTCAATGGAAATGCTAACGCAAGTGAAGTTCTGCTACAACATGGCGGCACCCGGCCGGCTTCAACTTCCGGTCGATGGATTACACCCTTGGTCTAAACCAGCGCTATAGACCTTATGTGGCCCCACCCCTTTTCAGTGCTGCGCTCGTTGTCTTTTGACTTCCGGTCTGTATTTTCACACCGATCTTGCATGGGTATGAATGAACTGCTCGTAAAAAAATTCCCGGTCGACATTTGTTATCTGCTTTACAATACTTATGATAAACATTACAATGCTCATGATAACTTTTGTTAACTCTACAATAAGTAAATCCACTTCACCAGCTAATTACTCCTGGACAGCGATGCCATAGAAATATACAGAGCGACCGCAAAAACGGAAGTTCAAAGACAATATTCTAAAGAGGACGGCGCCCACGTTTCTCTGGTGCATAAAGTCTATAGGAACTATCCGTGACGT